TGGCGAGACCTCAAATCATCTTCGTAATATCTATCAAACTATAGATCCTACACATCCACTGGACGTGGATTCTAAAAGTACAATATACACTTCTCGCTAGAAATCTAATCAAAAAGCATTTTAATGGCCAAACTATTCCACAATTTAGGATTTTCCAGAGAGGGTTATTTGTGAATAAACGACCCTCCGGAGCGTTTGCAATCAACGGGAGCATGTTGTTTCTTACACGACCACTAGAGGTGCTACACTTTAAAGCGTGACTATGGGTCGTAATAAGCTGCTGAACAATAGTGGCGAAGTCCCTCCCCTTCCGGTGGACCTCCATGGGACCTTATTTCGGAAAAATTATGTATTGAAGTCAATGGAGAGAGAAAGATTATCTTTCGATCCCGTTTGAATTGTGCCACGAATTACACATATGTTTGTCAATTTAAAAGATAATTTTGCAAGTCAAAAAAAAAAAAATGTGTCGTAAAACTGTGAAGTAACACATTTTTTTGTGTGAAACGCTCAATGAACTACATCTCTGGTCTCGCACAACAACACACGTCACCAAGATGGCCGTCACTACTGTCTTGTCAAAAAAGGGATTGACTACCCTCACTATCACCACAATGAAACACGTCCAGAAGAATGGCATGCAAAGCTGCCTGCCTGCCTGCCTTCCTTTGATTCTCTCTGAACTGCCTGATCTTTTTAATGTTTAATGTCAACCATTTGTGCAGATAGCATGAAGTAGAAAAGATCGCAGATGCTAATGTAGCGTTAGCGTTAGCATTTCTCCCCCGGGCTTAAATGGTGTATTATAGAATGATCACACCGGTGTGACAGTACTCTTCAAAGGGTTCACAAAATATGACTACTACTCTTACTGTTTAACATTTTGGGTTACTTAAAGGGGACCTATCATGCAAAATGCACTTTTGTACGTCTTTTATACATGAATATGTGTCCCCGGTGTTCCAGGGAACTCACCAAGTGTCAGAAAACACAACCCTCTCTATTTTCCTGCATACCCAAATCTCTAAAAAAGGGGCTGCAACGGATCTGATACAGACTGATCCAGATTTGAACACTTCTATGACGTCACAGAAGTGGCGCTACGGCTATTGGGCCAACTCTCCACCTATCAGGGGAATTTGGGGTTGGGCCACGGCCGGCCATTGCTGCTCGAAAGCGCTGGAGACGCTGTAGTACATATGCCAGGCCTGTAAGTGGCGCTGTAGTCTGCCACAAAAGTAGCGAAGAAGACTTCCCGTGCATATGGTAACCATGGTTACCCTTCTGTTTATTCTCCGCTGTGGCTTTTTTTCTCCCTCCCCGAGGCAAGCGTTTGCTCCCGCTGCTTTAATTCAATGCAATCCCTCCCCGTCGAGGCAAGCACGGTAATTCTCTCCGGTTAGTCCACCAGCAGATGACAAACACCCACCTCTCCGCCTCTTCCAAGGAACGAGGGGACCGTGCGGCAGAGTTTCAGTTTCAGTTTCTTTCGCCGGTCAAGATGTCCGTTAAAGTTTAAATCTTCCGGACAAAATTAGAAAAGTGCCGGTCAAAGGTCTTCTTTGTTATTTATTGAGCTTTAAAACAAATGAATAATGACTCTATAGGCCTATAATAATATAATAAAACCATAGACTGTATATATAAATAAAACACGGAGGACAGAGATCTTTTTTCTCCCCCTCTTGACTTGATCAGAGCATGGCTACCCTCTCCTGCAGGGGGGCGTGGTCTCACAGAATCAGCCCCATAGACAGCAAACAGCACATAGAGCGAAATGAGGCATGGCTAAAATGCATGATCTGTTTGGTATTTTGAAAACAGAAATGTATAAATATACCTTATATAGGTATGGCTCTACAATATATAATTTAAATATAGCATGATAGGTCCACTTTAATGTTACTTCATGTTAAGGCTAATAAAAATGACAAGGCTAAGCCGGCTGTAATGCTAACTAACGTGCTTGCTACTAGCTAGGTAGCTAACTTGATCCAGCCACTCCTGGTCCTTTCATCAGACGGGAAGCGAAAGAACGAGCAAGACCCATTGCTGGTATGATAACAACCTGGTACTAAGCACACAGGCATCTTGTTAAAGTTATCTTATCTTAGCTATCTCTTATTTAGTGGAGGAAAACAATTGTGACATCAGTTATGAGTGACATCACTTACGCGACTCTGGGATTTGTAGTCTTTGTAGTTGCGTATTTTTCATAGTCTTATATTTCAACAGTTTTACGACAAACTGTGACTTTTTTGACATGGAAATTATTTTTTAAGATTGACAAACATATGTGTAATTCATGGCACAATTCAAACGGGATCGAAAGATAAGTTTTCTCCCTCCATTGACTTCAATACATAATTTTTCCGACATAAAGTCCCATGGACCGGAAGTAGATGGGCGTGACTTTGCCACTTTATCGACCTATATGGTCGTTTTTTGTAGGAGGACAGGCTGCAATGTATTGTATGTCCATGGCCCATGCACACATTCTTCCACTATAGTGCAGCTTTGACTCATTCTTTTGCAAATTTCCACTGAAGCACCACCCATTTACTGACTCAATGTTTTCATAGGAAAAACCTACCTAAAGTGCAAACACAGTAAGTCCTTTGCAAAACTAAATTTCTCTCAAAAAGTGAAACGACAAAGATACATGATAATTACCTGCAATAGTTAGAGTCCATTTGTAGAACTCTATGGTGTCATTTATAAAATGTGTGACAATCTCCATGGCTGCGGTCGAGGACCTGAAATAAAGAGAGGTGTGAGAATGAAGGCCTCTGGAATCTCAGCATTAAGTAGATCAGAGTAATTGTGGTATCATCTTTCGATAAATCAATAATGTCACCCTAAACATGCTTATTTTTTAACTGGTACATCATAATGCTGAAATAAATCAAAATGATTCAACTTTTACATGTATGAAGCGTCAAAAAGAAACCATCCCAGGCCAACAGAAGGTCAAGGCTATAGTAGCCCTTGGCCCAATGAGCCATGATATGCTATAGGCCTGCACACAAAGGCTGGGAGCCCCGGCCGGCAGAGCGCTTGTGTCAGCAGATTTTTGGCGTGCACGACCACCAGCCAACCTGGTGTGCACTTATAATGAGGAGGGGGAGCCTCGTGCCCCACTTTTACATTGAAATGGGTCATCTGCCAGACTGGCGCATATGCTGATCAGTAGCAGGGAGCACAGGCAGCCTCTGCCTCAGTGTGATTGAATGATCCCTAAAAAGACGACGCCCCCCTCTCTCCCTCTCTCTCCCACCCCCTCTCGCTCTCTCGCGCATGGAGCGGATCAAGCGCTGCTGCAGCATCAGTCCTGCAAGCGCTGTCCGCATAAATTGCTCTAAGAATAAACCATACACCACTGTTAGAAATAAACATTTAACCGCATTTTGTGTGTTCCTGACGGGTTTAGGGTGATGGGTTTATAATCGGATTATTAACGATTGGAGTGGCGAGTATTTGAATTCTGCGGTATGCAGTCCGGCCTTCAACCAGGCTGACTGAGCAGTCCTCTCATCACTATGATTTTTCCAAAAGCTCTTTCCTTCTCGCATCTGTAAAATAACATAATTCCTATCCATCCAAGATAGTATGGTCTAAATTCTAACGACTGCACAAAGGCAATATACCATCCCAAAATATCGACATTGATCTCGCCTTATCTCGAATGAAGATGCTTATTACCTTACCGTGTCGGTGCTTTAAAAAAATCCCTCTATAATGACTTTCAATGCAAGGTCATGCAGTGTGCGTTATTCCAGCATGGGATCGGATGAGCTTGTTCTCTATGAAATTATAAAGTGTTCCGTATCCAGTGTGCAATGAACGGGCCGTGGCATAAACGGCGATGGCATGGATTTCTCGTAAATGGACCACACTAGCCTCCACTGCGCCTCGCCTGACTGGATCCCTCTGAACCCGCACACCGCCAGCGACAAGCGAAACACAATACATCTTACACATCCGACCAAACTTTCAAAATAAAATGCACCAATAAAGGTTTTCGATGTCAAAAATGTGAAAAAATGTTTATATAGGCTACATATTTAGTCCAAACCTGTTGTGGCTATACAAATAACAACAACAAAAAACAACAGCAATACTTGAAAACAACAATACAAAATATAGCTATAATGAAACTATTAATAACATTAACTCATCCAGACATGCAACCTTGTGAGTTAAATCCTAAGAGTTGAAACCTGAATGACTCATAGGCCTATATTGATTGATAACAATTGAATAAATGGTTTACGTTATCTTTAAATGACTTTACGGCAACAGTTTGAGGTTAATCTTTAGTGAATATATGTTCATTCTCAAAACCAGATGGTTTATTTGGAAGCGATGTCACTGTATTTCCTACTTTCTCCATGCTGTCTCTTTCTAGCTTGATGCAGCTCGGTTGTGCCACTTGACCAGGATGATGGAAAGAAGATGCTAAGCGCATGCGCACAAATGGAGGCGGATGCAGCAGCACAGCAGTGACAGCAGTGCTACAGCAGCATCGTCAAGTCAGAAACACAAAGAGAAAGAGGAAAAATAGGTATTGCCTTCAAAATAAAACAGAAAAAAGATTAATCAACTGATGGACAAGAAATGTATTGAATAGTGTATGTGCAAAACACAATGGATACCCAAACGTTGTTGCCCACACTTTACAAATGTGTGTTACACAAAAAAGCCACAATTATTTTTGTAATTGTCTCATACAGTACCATTTCACAAACTGTTGCAGTGATTTGGTGACATCAACTGACAGGAAGTTCAAAAGGACCCTGTTGCTTAGCAATGCAATTCCAGTAAAACAGTACATCGAAAACCGTATGGTCTATATAGTTATATTTTATCTGATATTACAAAATCCGAGACAGATATTGGGTTTAACAAAAGTTGGGCTTTTATTTTGAAATACCTGAGCAGAAGCCCGTATCTCACTCGGTCTGTCTTGACATTTGGTCTCTTCTCTTTTGCACCGGCATTCCTCTTGTCCTCTACCGTAACAGCTGTTTGTTTTAATCTATAGGCCTACTTTACACCTTTCCTGTCGGTTTCTCCTGTCACTCGGGGATCAGCAGGGCACAGTGTGCAGTCTTTACGCAGGATTGATGTGCGAGGAGACGCCGACATGCGCATCCCGGACTCCCCTCAGTGATGGTCGGGAGCTCTGTTCATAGGCCCTGCTATCTCTGTCTTATCACTGGAAAAGCGTTAGTGTTTCATGTTTAAATGGTCCGGTGAAATGTGAATTTGGACCACGGAGGGATTCTCAGCGATAAGGCCAAGACTTTTGAAAGATGAAGATTTGGAGCACGGAACATGTTTTCAGGTTGGTTTATTGTTTATAATAATCATATAGCAGGTCTCTCATGTAGGCTATGTTGATGGGACCTTTATTCATATTTACCAAGTTTAAATACATCTGAATTTAATCAGACGTCTGTATGATTCTTCTCAGTATTCCACCTGCTCTTTAGGCTTTTGAATGTAGACAAGTATGAGCATTTATCATCAGGATTCAACCCAAATCACAGCCTTGTCCCAGATAAGGGAAGTCATTATGGGGTGGCTATGTCTCAGGATTTGGAGTTTTTTTTTTTTTTTGCACATGTGATTCAATATTGAGATTATAAAACACATTCCATAGTCAACCATGTCAGTTTATCAAAAGATAGCCAGCCAATTGCAGCCAATAGTGATCATTTACTATATGTGTTCCCCCTTCATGCTACTTGTTCTGTTTTGTGCTCAGTTACCCCTGGGAGACGGTGATCAAGGCTGCCATGAGGAAGTACCCAAACCCCATGAACCCTAACGTGGTGGGGGTGGATGTCCTGGACCGCAGTCTGGACGCAGAGGGACGCCTGCACAGCCACAGACTGCTCAGCACAGAGTGGGGCCTGCCGGGAATCGTGCGAGCGGTCAGTCCCCACAACATTAACATTCAGATGTTTAGAAATATAGAAGTATACAGTCAGAGGCAGACAGAGTCATGCATACATGGAGACAAGACAAAGGTATATGTTAAGTGACTTGTATTATTGTGGGTATAGATACTGGGAACCAACCACACGCAGACGTACGTGCAGGAACACTCCATAGTGGACCCAGAGAAGAAGAAGATGGAGCTGTGCTCAACAAATGTAAGTTCATACTGAAAGCTTTCAAATGTTGAACAAGCTGAACTCACATACATCATAATACACTCAAGTTTGATTTGCTACTTACATCTTCATATACCACGCAGACATACTGTGTGGTACATTGCAATGGCTACTTCATCAATAGTGTGCATTTTATATTCATCATAAATATACCGTGTAAATATACCATAATTACGGAAATGCACTTATCCCCTAGATTACTCTCACCAACCTGATTTCAGTGGATGAGAGGCTTCTTTACAGTCCACACCCAGACAACCCTGACGTGTAAGTACATTGTTAGTTATGCCTTCTTGTTTCAGAGACATTGTGTCTTGCAGGTACGCAGTGTTATTTCAGTTTTTTCATGTCTTACAATAACTCTCTGTCACCTCCTCAGTACCATCCTGACCCAGGAGGCCATCATCACAGTCAAGGGGCTAAGTCTAGGCAGTTACCTAGAGGGGATGATGGCAATGAGAATGTCAGCTAATGCCATAAAGGTAATACAAGCACATTTACATTTGTGCACTTGTTAAATCTTGCTATTTCTGAACTTGGATGTGTGATTTCTTTGCATGCCTTCTAACTGGGACTTTTCTGTCTCTGTACGTTTTTCTGCAGTTCCAATGTGAGTTTTCCGGACATGCAGCTAAAAGTTACACTTTTCAGCACTGTTCACCTGCATATCTATCTCCTCTTTAACCTGCTGTCTCTCTGTGTGGATCTGTAGGGTTGGGATGCTATTGAGTGGATTATTAAGAACTCTGAAAGAGAGAACGTGCCTCTCTGTGACACTTACTAACTCTGGTAACTCTTCTCTTTGCTTTCCTTAGCAGATTATTATAAGCATGGCACTCTTTTATACTCTCTTAAAGCTGGAAATATGTAAACATGTGTCACATAATGCTCCTGTTTGCATACACAGGACAGCAGTTCTGCAGTGCCGAGTACTTTCCCCGCTACACCTCATAGAGCAGGGGATTCTCAGTGCGTCAGGACCCTCTGGAGTTGGTACACATGCAGTGGGAGCTCAGACAGACGGTGTAATGCTGCCAAAGAGGAATGGTTTTTAGAGCTGGAATCAAGGGTCAAATTCTGGCAGGCGTGGCTCAATGAAAACTCAAAACCATCAACTGCTATTCAGATCAAGGCGAGGAGAACAGGACCATTTTCTTTACTGCTGAAAAAACGGAAGGTTTAAAATTCAAGGGCCTCTCAGACATTTATTGGTTAGAATATAATATTCTGACCACATTCTTTTAGCTCTTACGTCATATCTTCATCATATTTTAGAAGAGATACACTTGTTTTAGAAAAAAAGTAATGGTGCACTGACAATATGCAACAATTTTATTTGAATCGATGTTCTTCTGTATGTCCAACACTGGCGACAACTGCTGGAATTCAAATCTGACAGCTTTGTATGTGTTTCAAGAGGCAAACACTGTAGATGATATGTTTGCATGATAGTTGTATTAAAAGAGGAGACCGTGTATTAATGATAGATTGATATTAGCTAGGTAGCAAGCTTTACATTTGCTAATGCAGCTAAGAAATGATGGGAATGTATTATTAACATTGCCTTCTTTATCTGCTATCAAAGCAACAATACAAGGGCACCTTTTTGTTTGAAACATTCTGGGCAAAATGCCTTAAACCAGCAGATTGAGGAAGATGCGCATGACATGTTCAGCTTTATTATAGTTTTTCCAGCCGTCTCTTTTATGCCTTAGCAAGTCGGACACACTTCCAAATGTTGACTTTCTCTATAAAAAGCTACCTACCTACACACCCTCTAAGGAGCAGTACTGTATGTGCAACACTGCTGGAAACACACACTATTACAAATGTCTTTTGTGCTAAAACATATTTCTTTGTAATATAAAAATAACTACATAATATTTGTATACATATCATTTATCTAAAAAGACATGTAACAAGCAGTGAATTGTTATATTGTTGGTACTGTCGTACAAAACGGTTTAATTTGCTTTTTATATTAACTTCAACTGTTGTCCTGCTGAAACAATTAAAACAATTGTTTAAGAAAATGACATGCTTTTTTTTGTTGCTTTAAAGACAATGGAGAGGTCCGCTTGTATTTGAAGGTACTTAGTAATAACAAGTCACATTTCTTTTATAAGTTTATTTAATTATCAAGATCTTTTTTGTACTACTTTGCAGTTTATCATTTGTCCAATAGAGGGCACAATCTAGCTTTCAGAAACAGGCAACACGACAGACCTCTATACAAAAGCTAGTGTACATTTTAAATCGGGATACGAATTGTCCAGCAAAATACTTTAGTGTTGGCTCAGAAATATCATGTGAAATGGAGGCAATGGCACAAGTTAGATTCTTTTTCTTCTTTTTTTTTATTCAACAGAACATGAAGAGAATGCATTGCATAGCATGTACATTATTCCTCACTGCCTGCACAGTAATAGAGGAAAGTCTGGGTAAAATAAACTAATATTACAGAAAAATAAGTTGCTTCAGACAGCCAATTTAAAAGACTTCTGTAAATGAGACATTAGCTGCTGATGATTACAACTAAAAAAAAGCATCAGGATGGGAAAGCAAACAAGAAGATAGCTGTACCTGTTTCAAGTTTCATGATAAGACACATGCCATCGTTATACTGACTACGGTTACAATCTTTGGTAATACTGTACTCAAGCACTGTTGCTATAGCAGTTACATGAGAAAATGAACACAACATTAAAAAAAAACAGTCATATCAAATCTTTATAAAAGTGAAAAACAACTAAAGTTAAATAGAAAATGTGGTGCGTCAACATATCATAGAATCATCAGTCTAATGATCAATAACGGACTCCCATGCTTAATATCTCTTACCGCAGCAACTCAAGATTTACTGTACGTCTCTACGTCCCAGTGCCAGACAGAACAATATTGCAAACTTCCTCAAACGCATTGCATCTTCCCATGTAAGCAGGACACATTTCAAAACAGGTTTGAATAATCTTACTTCCTGTGTTCGAACATTTCAAGGTTTGAAAACCCAACAAAAATTAAAACGAACTCCCAAATTTGGGAAAAACAAGTGCACACATCTGAGGTCAAGAGCTGTGTTTACTTTGGAGGTGTCCTTTGAAAAAGCACAATAAACTAAGACTAAACCCTGACAGCAAAGTGTTCCCTTTATCCTCCATCCACAGGCTACATCTCTTTTCCTCTCCGTCACATTCACTCGCTTTCAACTGGAACTCTCTCAGAGGTCTGCACTCTTTCAAAAACAAAAAAATAAAACTCAATTGCAAAATCGTCCCACTGCCTGAGGCCCCTCCAGCACGCCTCAACAAAATACACATCCAGGAATTCATTGTGCTATAAAACAAAATTGTACATTTCTATGTACAGTATGTACAGTAAGTTCATCTGGATTTTAGGGGGAGGGGTCAGAAGTTAAAAAGGTTGATAAAGCCCTGTGGGGAGAGGGCCATGGTGCAACTGTCAGGGTTGTTGGCTGTGCAGGGATGGTTTGTATCCTAGAAAAAGACAAAAAAAACGATAAATATAACAGGTTTATTTATTCAGTTTCACAAAAAGGTGATATTTTTGTTGCATATCCACTTTGATCAAATGCGAAATAGAAATAAATACTACCTTCCAGAAAAGGATGTGGCAGTGTGTGCAGAAGTGCAGGGTGTCGATGTACTCCTCTCTGTGAGGATAGCAGCGGCTCAGCTTGAAGTACATCTTCTTCCACTCCAGCTGACCTTTGTCTGACACCATCAGGCGCTTTCGGATCTGAAGAAGAAGTAAACACACTTTAAGACACGACCCAAGGAGAGAAAAAGGTTTTAGAAATATCTGCTTTAATGTCAGCTTTCTTGAGAATTTATTTTGAATGCCAATTCACTGCAAGGGCAAAGAGAAACTGCTCAAAAGATGGAGCCTTAAACAATAAGAGTTTTTCCCCTAACACAAATTAAATCTAAAAAGCACTCTAACTTAAAGTAAAGCTTCACTGTAACCTACTATACTTTAGAGTAAAGCCTGAGACTTTGTGCATGTTTTGGGCATTCTTAAAGGTTACTGCAGTGTCAGTATTCAAGCTCAGTCTCCTATTTTAATGCAGAAATGTTTTTATCCTTGTAGAGTCCCTTTAATGTGATTTACAGTGTCAAGTACGTAACCTGGAGGTTATCTGAAGCCTCATTCTCATTCTAAATACATTTCGGTACACCTATTAAGTCCTACATACCTGTCTGTCTGTGAAGTGGTACTGGCAGAGTCTCTTCCACAGGAGCCGGTCCTCGGTGAGGGGCCCCAGCTCGGGGCACACCTGACCCAGGCTGACCAGGTCCCTGCCGTCTGTCAGACGCTGCATGATGTTCAGCTGCAGACTAACAGGCAGGTCAGTCAGACTCATGCCTGTAGACGTGGGCTGCAGGAAACAGGAGGAACAAAAATACATAAATATAATGGACATTTGAAGCTGGCGTTCCTGATATTCTCTTGTTTGTTTGCGTGTATTTTTTACCCTTTTGATCTGGATGTTCTCCAGCTGCAGTAGCCACTGCAGGATGTTCTCCATGCGGTGCAGCCACGTGTTGATGTTCCCCACCAGGACGGATTTGCCCATGTCCTGGACGAGACCACACAGCGAGAAGTAGAGCATCTGCAGCAGCTCCTTGATGGGACGGACGTTCTGCTGGTCATCCAGAACTGAGGAGGAAATCAGAAGATATTTGCCGTAATTCATTAGCTTAAAAACGCGAGTGTTACAGCGAGATGTGTGGCTTCCAAACAGCAAAATATGAATTGAGAGTCATTAAAAAGCACGTTGTTAAAGCAAATGTTTTGAAAGTGGCTGTACAAGGTTCAAGGTTCTTTATTTATCAAACGAACATAGCTACAGTGTAGTTATGTCGATGAAAATCTTGTGTCACAGGCTTCTCCAACAGTGCAACACAAACACTCTTGTCTTGTGGCGTTTATAATATTTGGCCAACAGGTTTCATAACGCCACCTAAACAAGCTGAATCTCTGTTTAGCAGAGGGAACATTTAGTTTATACTGAGGCGCCTGGTGACTGTCAGTGTTTTTCACTGGGCTGTTAAAGCACTAAATTCACTCCTCTGCCTTCTTTACAGGTCATCACGCTCATTTCCTCACTTATTAGTGCAAAATGTAGTACATTTAATCCAACAATAAAGAAAATGGAATGGACTTGAAATTTGCAAGAATTGTGATTTGGAGTAAGAAGTGGGTGCATGTGTGAGTAGTAAGAGCAGGAAATTAAACCCTTCAACACAAACAAGAGAAAAAGAGTTGAGTGACTGTAAAAAGTGGGTAGACGCTCACCTTTCTGAACCACTCTCTCCAGAATATTCATGTAGTTTTTCTGCGCCACTCCGCTGAGCGAGGGCAGCTTGGACTTGGCGATAAGCTCCAGAAGCTAGATCAGAGAAAGAAACAAACAAAACATCAATTTCAACCCGTCAGCTGCAAAGACTCTGTTCCTTCGCCTCCTTACTTAATGTTTGTTATGTAGCATTCTCACAAAAGCACTTGGACTGGTGACAATAATGGCTGTCTAGAACAAATATAGAGCTGCTCCACCTGGTCATTACTCTCAAGTGAAGCTGGCTCCAGCAGGATTCTTGGCTCAGATCACTTTTTATCAGAGTCTGCTGGAAAAGGTGTTGGACAAACGCCCGGGCTGTCAACAACATCAGCCTCAGCAAACAAGCTCTTAATCATTTGACTCCTGATCCTTCTGTCATGTGAATTAGTTGATTTGACAGAATGTATGTGTGTGTGTGTGTGTGTGTGTGTGTGTGTGTGTGTGTGTGTGTGTGTGTGTGTGTGTGTGTGTGTGTGTGTGTGTGTGTGTGTGTGTGTGTGTGTGTGTGTGTGTGTGTGTGTGTGTGTGTGTGTGTGTGTGTGTGTGTGTGTGTGTGTGTGTGTGTGTGTGTGTGTGTGTTGCTGTTGGCTAGCAGACAATATTGGGTTCCAGGGTGGCATGTATGGCATGTTACAGACGATGTGACGTCATGGAGAAACTCAAGTTCCCCCTTGCTCAATTCTCACCGGAACATTTGTCAGCATATCAACATCAACATATTGTGAGGGGCTTTTTGGTGAAATGGAGAGGAGCAGTGGTAGCAGGCAAATAATAAGAGGTAGCACAAACTTCTCATAACTCTTCTTTCCCTCATTCTTTCCAGCTCCATTCCTAAAACCTAATCCTGTGCCCTTCTCCTTTTAGCAGCTCATTGAGTGCTCCTCTCTTTGTAGAGCAGCCGGGCAGAACAATGTGCGTTTCCGTATCTACTTTTAGCCCTGGCTGTTCACTGAACTGCACAGCTTGGCGTGTGGCTCATACTTTTCCAGGGACGCAGCATCAGTATCTTCTAGTAACGATATAACAGCCTTACACGATCATTTTAAGGTTTCTTTCTCCTTGAAATAACCTCCAGGGAAAAGAGGTGCTCTTTTTGTCTCTTTGTGGAAGAACCCGATCCGTGTAACTGAGACGGAGTTAAACAAACCCACAAATGCCATCACACACACAACCAGTGAAGAGCGGTGACCTAGGACAGCGTGTCCAGACTGGACGCTAGTGTTACACAGCCGTATTGTTCTTTGGGCTAACAACACTGCACTGCTCTTATAAGCTTGAACCTGCGGCAAAAAGGTCAATCCAAAGCTTGAGCAGAAAGGAAAACAAATGTCAAACTTTCCTGTGAAAAACTTGGATTACTTGTTGAATGACAAATTATTTTATATTGTGATATCTTGGGAATGTTATAAGACAGATACTCTACACTTGATGGCTGTAGATAACATGATCCCCTTGCACCGTCCTGCCAAAATGGAAAATGGTTATGTCTCGCCTCAAGCAAGCCAGAATTGGTCGATCCCATCACATTCATTAGGAAGACATTTTAATATAAAAAGGAGGCAGAAGTTTATAACTGAGGATCTGATGAGTGAAGAAAGAGCAGGAGAAACACAACAGGACGAGGCCTAGGTCAGACTCTAGTGTGTGTGTGTGTGTGTGTGTGTGTGTGTGTGTGTGTGTGTGTATGTGTCTGTGTGAATCACCTGACAACCACCGGGTCTGGTTTCATAAACCCCTGTCGGGATGTCGCACCTCACTGCACAGCCAGCTGTCACCCCACTCAAAGACCCCCCCCCTCCACTCACATGGGAGCACATGTGGGAGAGCTGCCGTTTGGTTCAGTGTGGTGACACTTTGATGTGGAGGGGAAAAGCTCCAAATTCAACTATAAGGGATTTTCTATTGACATCCCATGATGCAATTACATTATTGATAATGATATAATGAATGCTGATGATGTCTATTCCTACCTTTAGTGGATCAAATTAAATTCAAATAGGAACTCATTCTAAATAAAGCATTTGTTTAATTCTATTTAGGGATGCCAAATGGCTTAAGTGATCATATTACAGACAAATGTCATGCTACGTCACACTTTTGCCCTACAACTAACACACACATTCACACACTCTCTGGCTCGGTATCATCTCCATTAGAGACTCTTGTCTGCAGAACATTGATAAGAGCCAGGCAGAAGCCTACACCCGCTCTTAACCTTAACCTCTTCCCTGCCAATGACTAGCACAAGGGAGAGAAACAGAAATGCACAGAAGAAAACAAAGAGACGAGGACTCACTCTGACGACGTAATTGAATCTCCTCGTGTCCTTGATGGCGCTGCAGAAGTCTAAGCGGTTGAAGGCTTCTCCCAGTGTACAATATCCGTGGCGCTGGGGAAATTCAATTATAAGGGTATTAGATTGCGAGCCTTGGCAGGAGTTATCTCAGCATGTTTACACAAGCAATGAAGATGTGAAAAGTTGAAATGAGTTGATTTGTTACCTCTTTGGTGCTTCCTTTATGAACATAAATCCACTTCTCCCTGTGGAAATCTGAAAGGAATCACAATGTTTATATTAGCGGCCTTCCCTCATTAAGCAGCTTATAAGTACGGTGACAAATGCACACGCACACAACACCAATAACATGCAGAGTCAGTATATTGAATTGGAGTTTAGAAAAGGATGTAAATTAATCATAAACATTGTTATCAGTTACATAACACCCTCATGAGCTTCTCCTGTTAATGTTTTTGGTATATTATAATGACATTCTGTGACTTTTTAGCCCACACATAAATTACAAAATCCTTAAAACAATTAGTTAGACAGTGTGGGCCCTTTCGTTGAGACTCACAGGGGACCTTGGTGTTGTTGTTCATTTGGTCTTTTTTCCTCTTCTTGGCAGCCATGTCGTAGCTGAGAGAGATCAGCAGGTTCTCCTTGTTGAAACACTCCTCCTCCTCGGCTTTGCAGAAGCTGAAAAAAAACAAGGGCACATATTTCATTAAAGGCATAATTTTGTCTCAGTACTCTTTATATGCAGCACTCTTAGTACAGAAGACACAACATCATCAAAACAAGGTATCACATGTGATTAAAAGGTAACTGTAGGTTATGTTAAAGACAGGTTCTTCGTGTTAGTGTAGGCATTAACCAGACGTCTGTTAATCCACTCACTTGTTGTGAGGTTATTAATAGCTCAGTGGCCCAGAATAACAAAGACACTGAGGTTAAGGGTATGGAAACAGCACGAAGGCCTGTTTGTCAGTCACCCTGCCTTTGTTCTTAATGCTGTTTGGACTTCCTCCCCCCCTTCATATTTATCTAACTTAAACAAGTAATGGTGCGTTTAAGAGTTATGTCATCTCAAAACTTTTGTGATGGAGAGAAGACAGCGACATTTCACAGGGTTGCTTTTTTTTTTTTTAGAACCAACCTCTCCACGGAGACATTGTTGTTTTTCTCGTCTGCTGTCGTCTTCTTCCATCCTTCCTCGGTCTTAGTCCAATTCTGACCCGGTGACCTCCAGTCCTGTCCGAGGAAAGGCATCTTGCTTCGATTACTTTGAGCAAAATTAATCTAAAAAATAACAGGAAACAATCGCTGTTTGAGTTTATATGTGTCCCTTCTTGTATGCGATGTGTGTTTCTGGTCTACTGTTTTCATTGCGCAGCTCGTCTTATATCCTCGTCTGAGAACCCGGAAATACACGAGGCCCGCCCACTTTGGAAACTTCCCTGCAACACGTGGCTTTGTTTATGAACTTCAGCGTTGCAAAATCTCTAGAGAGAGCAGCAGAGGTAACAGATCGCTTCATGTCATGGGAAGGGTAGAGACAGAGGACACCTAGAACATGTATTTAGAAGGATAATAAGCTAAACATATTAAATGTCAAATTTAGGAGACAATAATCCTATAATACTGTCAGGTTACTACTTTAAGACCTTCTAAAATGCGAATTTACTTCAGTATTTTCCATTCACGTTACGTTGTACTTTAACTACATTACATTTCAAAGCAATATATTGTACATGTTTTACTATTAATTAAATGTACCCTATGATAGACCATTGGCACAGACATGTAAGAGCTCCCAACTCTTTGTATTTAGATACAAAAGGTCACAGACACACAACACGACAACCAAAAGTCGTGTCTTTGTAGTTTTGGTTGTCTTTGTTTTGTATATTAATACTCATTTTGCATCTCTTTGTAGTTGTGTGTATTCTGTTTATGGTGGTTTTGCATCTCAATTCAGTTTTGTATGTGCCTTTGTGGTAAGCCCTGAATACATTACCCACCATAGACTATAAAGATACCCACACAGGTGTTTTGAGTTATGTGGCTAATTATGCATGCGCAGGTGTTAGCTGTACAAGGCTATGTATGCTAATTGCAGTGATACAGTTGTAACTTGTCCACCAACAAAACTACAAGAGAAGTCCTCCTCCTTTTATTTTGTAGATAAAAAAGCAAAGAAGATTAAACCTGTTGCCGTGCCTCCTGGATGAAGGGGCCATTTTTCATAATGATATGTAAGTACATTTAGCTGATCACATTATGTACTTTTACTAAACATTTTGAATGCAGAACTTCAAGTTGTAACAAAGTATGTTTGCATTGTGGTAATCATTCTTTGCTTACATTTCAATACTTTCAACCAAGTATGTGATTTGACACATCATTTGCAAACCTCTGGATTATATCAATACTCTTTTATTGATAAAAGTAACTATGGTTCAGGAAATGTTTTGCCCAGGCATATTACTACTCCTTTCAGTAACTGTAAATACCTCACAGTTACGTGGCTGTAAAGTCCCCTGATTCTTAGTCACTCCTGCTATTATAAATAGATCAACTTGTCCTTAAAATTCCTCTAGAGTATAAAGTTGCATTGTGAATTATTTAGAAGTTTGCATCTGTCCGCAAAGGGTTTACCATTGTATTTTAATCATCCCAAATCAGCACCAACAGATCTGTGAAGAATAGATCAGGGTATTTAGTTTATTTTGGACGAAGGCATTATAGATAATGTGTAACTAAGTCTGCCCAGGCCACTGGGTCAACTTTTATCAGCTTAATTAAACACATGACATAAACACTGGTGACGCTGTGGAAATGATCAGCAAGAATTGTGTTATTGGATTTGTCAGTAGGAATGATAACAAAGGCATAAAATGCTGGTAACTTCTTATCTTAAAGACACCCTGGATTGATCACTGATGTCATGTCAGAGCTGATTTAAAGAGCTTAAGTTACTTCCTAAAAGTCCTGTAGCACGAGAACCACTTTATTGTGCATGTGTGTGTATCTGAGTCCATGTGTGTGAACAAGTGTGTGCTAACATTTTGGCATTGAGGCAGTGAGAGTGGGTCCTCATAATTCATGACACACTTTACAATCTGCAAAACATGACACTTCTTCCAAGAACCAGCAGGCCAGTGTTTCAGCTCAAGCAGTGCTTGTGTTGGGACACATGGCGTGTGTGTAATCTGACCATGATGGCTAAGTGATGTGTCTTTACAATCCAAGTTTATAACTATAACTATGATAGTTACAAAATTGCTACAAAATTCCATTATTTCAGACATAGGCTCTGTTGATTCCTTTCTTTTAATTCTATTCCCATTTTTCTTTTTTGCTGACACAAAGGATGGGATTAAGCACTTAAAGTGATTCTTCTCAAGCAAAAGTCTAATTCAGTCTCAGTTTTATTGATTTCAATCAAACATGACTGCACTGTTCATTACAGATCCTATGTTGCTAAAGCTTATGGAACAGGTTCATTGGTTGCTTCATGTCCGAGATTTCAATGTAACACTCTGATATATGTAAAAGGTCACAGCTCTGAACTCATTCTGCATGTGCTAATCTGTCAACAAGACGGCTCATTAGAATATGTCAAACGACATTGGGAACATATAATATGACTATATGTACTAATCATGAATATAAATTGCATGCATTGCAGAAGTGAGGCACAATGTTATAGTTCAACATTTCCCTTTGCGGGATACTATGCAAAGCCACAGTGGTGTGTGTAGAAAGTGGACTTACAAGACCAAAAAAGTTATTATGTTTATTAACTGCAGAGGGTATACCCTGATATATAGTGCTGTATATCCCTGGAGTAGGCCAAGTACAAAATGACCTGGAAAGTCCCTGCAAGTGTTTGGTTAGTTGGTGACTGAGAAGGAAGCTATTCCCTAGGGCTCTGAATAGTATCAGTTTAGTTTATGCAGTGAATCACAAACAATGTTGAATCTGAGGTGTCAGTTTTAGCGACCTCAGTGGATGGCAATGTCGATTTGGTGTGGACTGAAATATATCAACAAGTAGAAGGATTGTCATGAAAGTTTGTAGTGAACAGATATTCATGCTTTCCAGAGGATAAACCAAACTGACTTTGGTGATCTCCATCAGGCCAAACTTAAAAATAAATAATAATAATAAATAAAATAAAATGTCTGATATCTATCTGATACAAAACATTGTATATATATTGATGTTTTCAAAACAATGTATCATTTGGCTCTGATGTCCATGACTTCCCATCAGACTCAAATTAACTTAGTTTAGTTGTAAGAAGTAAGATGATGTCCATGGTAAACACCATACAGTACAAGCATGTTCATTGTGAACAGTTTAGAAAAAATATAATTTGCGTTCATTTCTATGTAAATATCCTGATTCATGACCTAACACAAGACCTTAATGTCTAGACCTAATTAATTAATTAATATAATAATATAATAATTTCATACAAATGTCTATAAGATACAATGATGAAGTGTTGATATTTTGACTAGACATATAAACGGCAACTTAGCCGGTTGGCGAAGGGATACAACCACAAGGAAGTTACTAACTGCATTAGGCATCAAATTAGAATGATAGAAGGTTAGTAGTGAATCATCTCTCTGCCCTCCGTCCATGATCCCTGTTTTTGTTTTGATGTTGTGTACAGACAGAACAGCTGTCCTACTCGACCCTCCAAATCTTAATCAGCAACCCACACACTCTCACACAGTCACACACACACCTGTTGCTGCTTCTCCTAGATGAGTTTCATCACTGTCCCAGATTCTCTGTTGTGAAACCCCGCTCATCTGTTTCTCTTGCTCTCTCTAGTCGCCTCTGTATCTGCCAGCTTGTGTGTCAACCGAAAGCACCGCATGCCTCACGTGGTCTACCATTCGCCCTCTTGTTTGTTTCTCAAAATAACATCAGAACACCTATAGTTTTTCCAGTCCCCCACCTTTTCTGACCCTCTCCACCCACTGTCCCCTAGACTCTATTTGCTGGCACTGAGGGACCGAAGTCAGGGACCCCGTGACTTCTTGTTTCAAAGAAATGCACACAGAGTCCTGACTTATACCTCCTGGTCACATTTTGTTTACTTCACAAGATACAGCTGAATTTGCTCTCTAAAGTCATTGATTAATAAAAGTATGCAATTGCTTTAGCTGATGTTGTTGATCCTTACTTTACTAGAGATCTGAACTACCTGCAATTACCATTAAATAAAGGTTTATTTCTATAGATGTCATTTATAGAAGTGTCATACAAAAAATCCCAGTCTTTTAAATTGTGGCTGCATAAACATTAAATCATCAGTGATATTCTGGCTGGCAGGCAACAGAATCTGTCTCCAATTCCTGTCAATCCATGATTTTTCTAAAGCTGTTAGCCAACTGAGACATCTTAGGGTATAGCTGGCTTTAACTTCCAATGGAACATTTGGAGCCTGTTTCAACATGTTTCCTCTTCTAATATTTAAAGCTGTTCTTTGTAAAATGTTACATTTAATATGATCTTCTTTGTGGATAGCAGGAACTTGCCTGGGCATGTGAAGGTCCTGTACAGGAGTATGAGTGGGGTCAAACTGATGACACACACAGGGCACATGTGCTGCTCAGATTGCATTTGCTGTCAACTGACTAAGCAGTGTGAAGACAAACTGCACTGAGAGATGGAGAGAGGCCAAGTGTATGGATAGATTTTTTATTGTGAACATTTATAGAAACCACACCAACATTAAATGTTTGCTATTACTTTTAGCCATAGATTAATCTAGCATATTCAAGTAAATATAGAAGGATTATATCAATAACGGGTCCACAGCAGTAAAAAAAACACTACAGAATATTGTCATTTCTCTAATTGCAGTCTACAGCAACATTTTACAAACATTGATATCACTACATTTTAACCATTATTTATCATTGAAGCAACACATAGTTATAAAAAATCCACCTGACCCAGCAGCATTTTAAGACCTAACAGCTGAGCACAGATTTGACAGTACACAGCCCCTGGATTTAAACATGACAAATTCAATCTCATGATTTAGAGCAGGCTGAAAATAGCAATTTCCACCTTTCTGAAGCCAGACGAGTTGAGACGAGGTGCTGGTGCAGGATAGCTTGTTTTCATATGCTTGGTCATAGAACATTACATTAAAAGATATAAAAAAGATATAAAAAAGATATATTATTTAAAAAAAAATATATATATATATATATATATATATATATATATATATATGTGATAAATATTTTCATTACTTGAGGTATGCTTGTTTTAATGGCTCATTGACTTTTAAATAAGTCCATCACACACGAAAGTAGGAATAGTTCAGAGTATTTTCTCTGCATGATTGACAGTTAAAATGTACTGTTTTCAAATGAATAGCATTAGATAATGACCTCGGCTATGATTTTGCCCATGTCTGTGAGACATGCGTCAGAGTCAGTGAGCCATGGTCAAACAGTTTATACGGTAGCGTCCCCTTAGATGTCCAAGTGTCTGTCTTTGGGTCATAGCAATCAAAATTGTCCAAGTCCTCGATGACATCGTGGCCGTTGATGTGGCGTCCACCCGCGACATAGATTTTGTTGTTGAGAACAGTGGCAGAGTGGTGCATCCTCCTCTCCTTCAGGTTGGCACACTTAATGAACTTGTTGGCCTTGGTGTCGTAGGCAATCATTCTCCTAGTGTATCCTGTGGCAAGAGAGAGATTTATTTAAGAGAGGCGGCACGGGTGGCTCAGGCAAAGCCATGAGGAATTTCTACAATCAGATTCATCAGGAAGAAAATCAATACTAAGGAATTACAGCAGATGAATATTGTCTTTTCCTAGATTCATTTTCTAAGCTGAATTCCTTATCAATGCTATGATCTACCTCCAATGATGTATATTTTATCATCCACAATGGCAGCAGGAGCAGATACATTCTTCACTGTTCTGTTCTCCATCTTAGACCACATGTTCCTGGCAATGTGATACACCTACAGGAGGGGAGGAGAAGCCGGCGGGAAAGGAAATATTTTTAAGGATTGATTGCGAATTGAGAAAATGGTAGCTTCAAACTAATATATAGATAGATAGATAGATAGATAGATAGATTTTGTAATGGAAACAGTGACACAGTGAATGAAGCGCATTGTTTCCCACCTGTATGATTCTGACGGGGTTCTGCATGGCATCCTGTCCTCCAAACACATAGATCCTCTGGTTAGTCGCAGCCACTGCAGGGTACAACACAGCCTCAGGCATGGGTGCCATCGCCTCCCATTGGTTGTACATACTGTTGTACCTGAAATTATTATTGAGACATTTAGTTTAGTTTTTGTTAGAGCATAATTATGGTTAAGATGTCACAAAACCTGAACTTGCAATGACCATTGATATTGGATCAGTGCACAGACTTGCCGATACCTGATCCAGCATTCTAGGCTGTATTGGAAGAATCACTAAAATCAAGTATCGGAATAACTCTAAATTATGGTCCACCTCACCTCTCCACACTGCCTGTCAGTCGACTGTCAGGCCCAAGGCCGCCCAGGACAAAGATGAAGTGGAGGTAGGAGACACTCTGGTGGGCAAATCGCGGCTCCAGCATGGGCTCTACCGTCCGCCACTGGTTGGTCTTGAGGGAAAGGGTGTAGATGGCTTGACTGTACTTTGTTTCTGTGGTTAGACCTCCGATAACGTACAAGACACTGTGGAGGGCCACATAGGATGCTTTGTACAGACGAATGGGCAGCTTGGTGAGGAACTCCCATTTCTCGCTCTTCTCATCAAAGACGAGTGCCTCCCTCGAGGTTTGCTCACTGTTCTTCCTCCCTCCTACCACCACCATGATGTCATGGTAGGAATAGCGCCTTGGTGCCACCCAGAGAGGTTTGAAATCTGTGTCCCCAATGCATTTTGAACTGACAGAAAACATCAGGCGTCTCACAGATTCTATGAGCTCGGTGCAGAGGCTAGAGGACTGGATTAGGGGGTCGTTGGCTATGAATTGGAAGAGGTATGTGGGATGGATGTGGCGAAGGCGAACCTTCTTGAAAAGGTCACTGATGGCACCACGCCTGGATAAAGGATCATGATGGATCCAAGAAACAAGTGTCTCAAAGACCTGCTCTTCCTCTGCACAAAGGCCGTCATCCTCAAGATATCCCATGAGCTCTGGTAAGGAGAGCTCACACAGATCCTCAGATACTGACACATCTGAGAAGCTTTTCATGGCCATCTCCTTTGCTTTGTCTCTCAAACTGTTACAACTCAAGATCTCAGAGAGTCTTATCATGCTCAAACAGTTGTCAGGGCTCAGTTGCTCCTGAAGGAAGCTCGAGCAAGCCTCAAAAAGGCGGCCATATTGCAACATGGATGCCGCTTGCATCAGGGGCAGCACAATATCGATGCTGATACTAATGAGTCCTGTGTAAACATAGTCAACGATACTGCTCAGAATGGTTGATGTGACGCCCTTCAATTCAATCTTGGTCTGCTGTCTCTCTTTGAAGTTGTGGCAGAACATGGCCGTGAAGTAGGGGCTGCTGGAGGCCAGGACGTTACGATGACATGGGATCTCTACATTATCTGAACTCAGAGACACATCGGTCAGGATGTTGTCCTGCCTCAGTCTGTTGAGATGCAGGAGCAGGTTGGACGACTGCTCCTTGTCTTTGTAGTGGAAGACCTTGACTGCTGGTCGGTCCATGCTGTGGAGAAAAAACATGTTGTTATTATCAAATCAGTTGATTTTCAGGCTTTTTTTTCTTCTTTTCTTTTATGTCACATTCGTTAACACAATTTCTAATTCTAGAATGTTTGTCAAATGTTTACTCGCTAAGAAGTCATTTGAGGGCTTGCTGTTGAAAGGATGAATATCAACCATCAGATAAATTAATTGTTGCGTGACTTTAATGTTGGGTAAAATGATAATCACTGGATTCGATTTTTATTTAGGATTACATTTTAATGCAGCAATACAAATATTTCCAGAAAAAGGTCACAACTTTGAAATACATTTTAGAATTGATTATTGCCTTCAATGATTTTAATCCCCCCTAAAAGATAGAGAGCAAGAGCAAGGCTAGTGGAATTGGATTGAATACAGTCCTGCGTCATAAACCAACATTTAGCCTGCAAATATTCATGGGAAACTCTAAATACATAGTTATTTAATGCCTTTGGGCAGATGTGCAAAATGCATAGTATTTTTGCTAATAGGGCCTACAGGGCGCCGGTCTGATTCTATTGGAGACTAATTGTCAAAGTAGATTATGGCCGTAGCCCCCCCAAAACTATTTCTGTTGCAGGACTGTCATTAAACATCATGCGATGCTTCTAGGAAGCCTGGAAAATGATTTTCAAATGTTTTTTATTTTGGCTTTGAAACTGGATGAATGTGAATCCAGGTGTTCCCTTTGTCACACGCGTTATAAATATAATGAATGCAAAATGTAAAAATGTACATAAATAAATGTAGGAGTAACCATTTATAAGCAACATAATCCAAACTATCATTTTGAACACACATAAAATGGTACCTTCAAATGCGAATTAAGTTTAAATAAACCTTTTTTTGATGTACATCACATTTATTCAGAGCAATGCCAAAATCATATAACAAAGAAAACACATTCAAGCTCCTGGCAGGTAATGAAGCCTTACATCTCTTACCTGTTCTTCTTCTCTCTTTATTGTTTTCTGGGTGTCCCACTGTGCAAGATCTCAGCAGAATATCTGATGCCTTGACATTTTCCTGTATACTTCTTCCCCTTGCTCCCGTGTTGTTGCTGTGTGTCTGTATGATCCAAAGGGGGCTGTCTCTTTGTAGGAGCGTACTGCGTAACGGTTGTTTGTTATGATCCTTTCCACGAGGCCACTGTGTACATTCCTCCCCTAAAAATAGACCCGTTCTTTGGAAACACGGTTGCAGACTCACATGTTTTCTTAGTATATGTCTGACTCCCGCACTATTCCTTCTTTCTATTTATCTCAGTTTCTTTCCCTCTATCTCTATTATCATATAGCCTATCTCTAAAACATTTTTAACAGGATTAACTTACTGCAGAAGAAACATAAACACAGAGGTAGCCACCACATTACTTACTGCCCATGACCATTGGCATCACAACAAAGTCCCCATGAGCGCAGTGAATATGTCTAAGAAAACATTGTTGTTGTTGATCCGTTGAGCATAAAGAAATGTACTTTAAACAACAACAACAGCTGCTGGTGTGTCCTTTCTTTGAACTTTTCTTTTTTTTTTCATACGTCCTGAAACAGAATATTTATTTTTACTTAAACACATTTTCAAGTGCAAACCATTGCCAGTTCGTTTAAGCTGGAGAATACTCAAATACTGTGGATCGTTTCATAAAGGCACATTGAAATGCTACACAAACACAGTGCATTTTCAATCATCACAAAGTGTGACATGTTTTTCTTGTACTCAGACTTGTTTACAGAGTTTCAAATCAGACATAAATAGCTCCCTTATATTCAACGATCACTAGACTTTAATGTCGATTGCACAACACAAAATCAGCAGCTTAGACCATAAATGACTTGTGCTTCTATGTGGACAGCTCATCATGTTGTTGTTTGAGGGCTACACTGCAGCACACACATGCAATACAACTCAGAAATTACCAAATGGCATGCATGAGGATTACATTAAAGAGAACTTTGTAAGTGCACCACAATAACTCCTCATGTGACACGGTAACCAGAAGTCACAAGCAGTCAAAAACAAATAGCACCATCTGGTGTTCAGTCCACAAAAGGTCCAGTTTGGCAAAACCTGGTTCCTTTTCTTATGTACTCCCTGCCAGTTTAGTTTGTGGTCAGTGGTTTGTTTAAAGCAGGGGTGTCAAACTCAAGGCCCGCGGGCCAAATCCGGCCCGGGACCTCATTTTATGTGGCCCGCAAAAGCTTGCAAAGAATATAATATAGGCTACGATACAATTGGTGTAATTGTTGAATATTTGCTTTGAATTATTTGCCCTAGACTTCTGCTTTCAGACGTATTTTTTTATGAAGTTATTACCAGAACTGATAATAATGCAATGCAGAGCCAATCATTTTATATAATACATTATTTAATATATATTATATATTTATATATGTATATTTATATAGTCTTAAAGTTACAACCGGCCCTTTGAGTGCAACCATAATGCTAATGTGGCCCGCGATGAAATTTAGTTGGACACCCATGGTTTAAAGGTTAGATACACACTAAACAGGCTAAATTGTAAGGTAGTAAGTTGTTCTGTTTAATTAAAATTAGGACCTCCTGTTGTATAAACCCTTCATGCGTGATATTGACATTCAAACTATCTCATCGATCTGCATATTGGAGGGCAAACAGTTAACTTGTTTGCCCAGAGGACAGCATGGAGGGCCACAGTCATTTTATAGCACGCACTCTCATATTCAAAGCCTTGATTGCATCCTTTAAAGTTAAGCACATTGTCTGCTATCTCTGTTCCTTCACCTTGGCAGGAAGGACTCATTAATGTCTGCCTTTAGGCAACAACTTATATTAAAAGTTAAGGCACTGGCACACAGTGTGCAGCAGAGCATTTACATGCAGCAGCGTTACTGTCGCCACCCGCCTGTGTCTTCATATCACCAAATGATTATCTTCTCATAAGCACATGGTCTAATAGAGCCGATACCCAGGGGATTTAGATCCCACTGATTAGTATTGTGTGTGTGTGTGTGTGTGTGTGTGTGTGTGTGTGTGTGTGTGGTGTGTGTTGTGTTGTGTGTGTGTGTGTGTGTGTGTGTGTGTGTGTGTGTGTGTGTGTGTGTGTGTGTGTGTGTGTGTGTGTGTGTGTGTGTGTGTGTGTGTGTGTGTGTGTGTGTGTGTGTGTGTGTGTGTGTGTGTGTGTGTGTGTGTGTGTGTGTGTGTGTGTGTGTGTGTGTGTGTGTGTGTGTGTGTGTGTGTGTGTGTGTGTGTGTGTGTGTGTGTGTGTGTGTGTGTGTGTGTACAGACTGCTCTCCATGGTCAAATAAAAGACAATTTGAAAGCAACATGGACAGTGAGTTCACATTGAGTTTACTTCCTGTTCTGTGCTTAACTTCATTTGAATTGTTCTCTTTTATATACTCTAACTTATTTTGTCTTCGATGTGGAGCCTTTTATTTATTTTTACAATTTGTCAGTATTCATTTCACTGTTCTGTGATAGGCTAAAGACAACCTAGGGGAAATGAGAGCACCCATCCCTATATTGGTAATGATTTCCTTTCATCTCTGTTTGTTCAATTAAGGCCTTTTTTATTGCCTCATTGTGAAAGTGAATGAAGCCCTTTGCATCAGTGCTACTTGCTTTTCCACCAGGGAAGAGTTAAACGCCAGCACAATAACCTGCCTTTTCTGTTTAAATGAGGATGGTACCTGTTTCTATTACTCAATTGTAAGTTTCCTCCTGACTGCCTTTCTTCTTGGTTTGGTCTGAACTTTAGTAGTTTGTCACTTTGTCTTGTCGGTTTAGATAACTCGCTTTGGCCCCCGGGGGCACCCACTCTGCACTTGACTAAGTTTGCTGAGACTTTCAGTCAAAACAAGCCTCGCTTCCACAGCAGAGTCAAAAAGGACTATAGCCAGCACTTGGATCTGTGAAAATAAATAAATAATGATTCTTACAGTGCCAATGGGAATAGTTGGTTATCTGAGCTAAGGTCATTATTAAGCTTTATAAAGTCTTAACATTGAGCCATTAATGACCCCATCGGGTCTTGTATAGCCCTTAAAGTTTTGATCCTGAAGATTCTTGTTCTTGTATTTGGTTTTTAAGGGGACCCCTGTAGTATAGTAGTGTTGTTTGATATGATAAGAATCTTAAAGATTATAACTTGCTGGCATTTCCTTATACAGCTCATCTGTTTATGAATGTTGATTTTCTTTGACAATCATTTGTACGTTGTGAGTAGTTTGACTTCTTACTAATGAATAGAAATAGTGCACAGACACAACATTCTGGTGTCATATGGCAGCTGAAACATGTGAGGTATTGTTGATTTTGAGAAATAAAAGATGGTTATGAGAGACCCAATCTAATTGTTAGGGTCTGTTTTGCTGATTCCCCTTTCAGAACAACATTATTGTATCCACTAGGTGTCAGGCCAACGTTATGCAAATTTCAAGCATTAAATTGCTTTTGACTTTTTTCCCCTGTGACTTCTAAGAAGCTCTCAAGGCTAAACTTGCAGTCAGTCTGTAAACAAAACAGACGCGTACTCTGCTAAGATGAGAATTGGTTTCCTATTTTTTAAGCTATTTTTAGGTGAGCCCAAACATGCTATTTTCTAAAAATACACAGAAAGAAAACAAAGCTATTTATCTGCTCATCTAAACATTGCACTTCTGATGTGAAATCTGAAATGGCTATTTACTCTGACACAGTATAAATTGAAACAGACAGTGAGAATAATGTGATAACCTCTTAAATCAGTCTGCCGTTGGGTATTACTCCCAAGTGCAAGAGATCCATGCCAGGCAACGCTGAGATACATCTGGCTTTGATGGAGAGACGTCCACACGTAAATCAACAAAGAGCGGGGGGGGGAGATGGAGGTTTGAGGAGAAGCCTATAGAGACAAAGAGATAGTGAAATGTGTTGTGTGTTGTGTGTGTGTGTGTGTGTGTGTGTGTGTGTGTGTGTGTGTGTGTGTGTGTGTGTGTGTGTGTGTGTGTGTGTGTGTGTGTGTGTGTGTGTGTGTGTGTGTGTGTGTGTGTGTGTGTGTGTGTGTGTGTGTGTGTGTGTGTGTGTGTGTGTGTGTGTGTGTGTGTGTGTGTGTGTGTGTGTGTGTGTGTGTGTGTGTGTGTGTGTGTGTGTGTGTGTGTGTGTGTGTGTGTGTGTGTGTGTGTGTGTGTGTGTGTGTGTGTGTGTGTGTGTGTGTGTGTGTGTATTCATTCACACAGGCCCAAGCATGGATGAGGTCTTAAAGGGCTTACAGTTAGCTGCTTAACATTCTTCTGATGTAACCAACACACGCAGCACATGTTTTTTTGAGAAAGAAAAAAGGTGCTTTGCAGAAACAAAAAGCGTAGAGGTGGAAAGGGAAAAGCATTGTACCCTCCACTGTAGCTCTCCCAATGTTCCTCTCTTGATGGTATGGCGGTCATTCAGCCTGCTGTGCCGCACGGAAAATACAGCCTGCCATTATGTCTACTCTAATAGAGTCATCTACACTGTGGGGGTTAGTGCTGTGGGGACGGAGATATGTGTTTGCCCTTTGAGTTTGCTATATGTTGGTACATGTGAGGGGGTGAGCATGTGTGTGTGTGCAGCATATATTGATATTCCACTAGCAGCAGAAGCTAAAGCCAATGTCTTTAAAGAGTCAGCCTCTCCGCAGCCAGCCAGGTGTGCCAGAGGTTCAGAAGAGAGAGACAGAGCGATGAAATGTAGTAAAGGGAACAAAGGAGCAAGATATAAATATAGTGGAAAAGAGACAGATAGCAAAAATATACAAATGCAGAGAAGATGTAGAGACAAACACAGAGAGAGGAAAGCGCTGCAAACGGTACAGAGGAAAAGAGAATATATATTGAGAGGGGATGAGGAGAACACTTTTGGGAATTGAAATTGCTCAGATGTCTTTGAAGGCCTCTATGATGGTCTTTGCCCTCTGTTTTCTGGCCGTGAGGCAGACGGACAGAGAAACAAATGGACACAGAGGGAGTGGTGGATGCAGGGACAGGCAGAGGTTTCAAAACAGAGCAAATTAGGGGTTTTAAGGTTCAGCC